GATCGTCTTGTCTGTCTCACCCCACTCTTCTTGTCAGTCAGCTCGACTCACTCTCCTCACTGGAGAAATGAAATCTGATCTGTGATGCGACTGTCGTTCGGCACGCTGCATTGAGTAGCCGCATTCAGTTTTTAATTGTAGTGTCTGTTCTTTTACTGAACTAAATGATTTTTATTACTATAAAAAAATCAAAAAGATGGTGGGGGTCGGTGCCGTGGTGGGCAAGTGACGCAACCGGTGTTGCGGCTTAACACCGGTATCACCGTCAGCACCGTCTATCGCGGCAAGCCTAGTAGACGCAGGCGGTGATCATCTTTTGCGGAGGCGGTGTTTAGCCACACTGTTATGCAATAAAGTGGCACATTCCTTAACCTGTCATTTTGGCAGATTGGCTTCAATATAAGCTGTTTTTAGACTAATGAGAAAGTTTTGAGTTCTGAAACTTACAGGATGTTTTTATAGTAAAATTACCTCTTATATGTCAAAAGATCAAAGGATTTTTGATTTCTCAGTTCATTGCCCCTTTAAAGCGAGTCACACACCAGACTCTGCAGGCGGACAAAATGCATATACAGAATTATTCATTTTATATACAATACCTGTACCTTATTCTACCCGTGGTGCTTCTTGTCCCATGTGCGACCCACTTAAGAAGCTCCAGTCTATCACAAATCCTTAGCTTTGATTTCAGAAACAGTAACTTTTTTTCAAGGATATCCCAAATGGACTCATGTGTTTGACAACAAATGGCAACATTTTAAACTTGTTAATTTGGAGACAGTGCACTGATAAAGTCTAATAGTTGATTTGCAGGGGTATAGTAGTGTTTAAGACAGGTCTGTGGTTTAGTCACAAGCTTTCACTGTGGGCTGCTTCGGCTTGAGAACATCTCATAATGAGCTTCCAGCAACAGCTTTTAAATAATGATGTTAAGCGCAGCTTAAGCCTGTCATCAGCTTTGCTGTATATCCTGCTGTAATGATCTTTCGCTGCAGTGTCTGTTATGTGTCTCGGGACAGTGTTTATCATGCTGCTGTAGACAATCGATAAAATCAGATGAGTGCATTCAAACAATGGCACTGACTAGTAATCCAGAGAGAGGATGTGTTGAGTGTGAGAGCTTGAACAGAGAAGCATGCTATTTGCAGGATCAATTTGAATGCAATACAATTACTGTTTTTGTGGAAGAGGGGATGAGGAATGGGATTTGAATCTGCATCACCTTTGTGAGCTATTTGGCTCTAACGTGTCATGGACATATGGTCTACTGCATACATTTTTGGCGTTCTGTCTGATACTGATAAGCTGAAAATAATTTTCATGTAATGGACAGTAACTGATAAATGGCTGATATTGAAGTTTTATGCTTTATTTTTGAGGGGTCTAAATAAAAAAAACAAATAAAACATCTGAAAACAAAAACAAATTTTAAATGCTGCAAGTGAACTTAGGCATCACAGCATAATAATGTACAGTGAAAATTAGTATGAAAATTGGATATTCATTATGATATTTGCTAAAAGTTGTATTGAACTGTTATTAAATTATTAGAGGTTTTAAAATTTAACCTTAAGTGAGTGATTATTGATCATTTAATTGTAATTTAATTAAATTGTGGTGTTAAGTCTAAAATGTTTTGAATAAAATCATTAGCACTTCTCCAGTTAGCTGATAGTGAGCAGCAGTGCAACATGAATCTGGCCTACATCCATGTGTGTTTTTAAGTGGTGTAGCTTCTGTAATGACATCTTTTGTGTTGTCTGTTCTGTCTCTAACTGGCAGGATTACTATAAATCTGGGATAATCCGCTGTCCTGATGGAATCTTCATTCCTGAGCTGAGGGAAGCGTGCGACTATCTGTGCATCTCTTTTGACTACAGTACTATCAAGTGCCGAGACCTGAGTGAGTAATTCCTGAAATGGCATTCCTGATACACGAGATTTACGTTAATGGAATTGTTCACCCGGAAATAAAAATTTGACGACGATTTACTCATCCAAGATGTAGATGAGTTTGTTTCTTCATTGAAACCGATTTGGAGAAATGTAGCTTTACATCACTGCCTCACAAATGGATCCTCTGCAGTGAATGGGTGCCGTCAGAGTCCAAACAGCTGATAAAAGCATCACAATAATCCACAAGTTACCCACACCGCTCCAGTCCATCAATTAATGTCTTGTGAAGTGTGAAGCTTTGTGTTTGTGAGAAACAAAACCATCAAGGCATATTAGAGGATAGAGGACTATTTCTAATTTTTGGATGAACGATTCCTTTAATCTTCTGTCAGTGTCCATGTCAGTACTGTGATCTGACAACTGTAGGATTTTAACATTGTTTTCTGCCTCATATTTCACAAAATGCCAGATTTGCCTGCTTTGGTTTTCCTCAGGTTTTTGTTTATTGACCCGGTTTGTCTCTTCAGGTGCCCTGATGCATGAACTATCCAATGACGGTGCTCGGCGGCAGTTTGAGTTCTATCTGGAGGAGATGGTGCTTCCTCTGATGGTGGCAAGCGCTCAGAGCGGAGAGAGGGAGTGTCACATCGTAGTGCTCACAGACGATGATGTGGTGGACTGGGATGAGGAGTACCCACCTCAGATGGGAGAGGAGTATTCACAAAGTAATCACACACACCTTTCTGTAACATCTTAAAAATATTTGAGAAGTGTTTGTAAGTGATGCACACCCAAAATATTTTACCCAAACTGAAAAAACAAACAAACAAAAAAATCTATTAATTAATTGATTAAAAAAGCATGGACTAAATTATGGATCTTGGGATTTAAGAATCCATATTGGTTCATCAAAATAAAGATTGATAGAAACTGATAGTCAACCTACTGTATTTCTAGTGTCCACACAGCTGACATTTTTACCTGTTGTTGTCTAACATGCCATTTCAGCGGAATACTTTTGGTTGCTGAAATTTCAGTGCATCACTAGTGTTTTTGTCTGTGGCTAAAGCAAATATATTAAAACAAATATATTTTTCCCCTTTTTAGTTATATATAGTACAAAACTGTATCGTTTCTTCAAGTACATTGAAAACCGTGATGTAGCCAAATCTGTTTTAAAAGAGCGAGGACTTAAGAAAATTAGACTGGGTATCGAAGGTAAGAATCCTTTGTTTTGCATGCTGTTTTTACAACATTATATGTATTTATTCAAATATGCAATCTCATTTTAATAATTCAAAGGCATAGTTCACCCAAAACTTGTAATTCTCTGAAGTTGCAATGAATCAAATATGGCAGCAGATGTCAGGCTTGACATTTGCTCACGACAAATCTGAGAACCAAAGATGTTTGTTATTGTCTTCAAATCTGATGCGATATTGATATCTACAAAGCAGGATGCCTGATGGCCGAAATGTAATGAAAGCCAATGAGATGCACATAAATTTGCTTAAATTAAATGTGAAATAATTTTACACAACATTTATTCAAAATTCACTACAAATGTGAAAACAGTGTCTGATACTCGTTGACAAAGCAGAGTCATTAGAACTGGGTCTAGACATAATGGCCAAATATTGGCTGATATACCAGTCTTCCTCTAGTCGAAAGGTGCCATATTTGATTTGAAAGCTACAAAGAAGGGCAAGATTTAGCATGAGGGTAAATATAATGACAGATTTTTAATTTTAATGAACTCTTCCATGGTGGTCATGACCCACATCAGAAGATCACAACTTTTTGAGTATCAAATCTGCATCTGTAGGTTATCCAACATACAAAGAGAAAGTGAAAAAGCGCCCCGGCGGTAGGCCTGAAGTCATCTACAACTACGTCCAAAGACCGTTCATCCGCATGTCCTGGGAGAAGGAGGAAGGCAAGAGTCGACACGTGGACTTCCAGTGCGTGAAGAGCAAGTCCATCACGAACCTGGCAGCGGCTGCGGCAGACATTCCCCAGGACCAGCTTGTGGTGATGAATCCCGGACCACAAGTGGATGAACTGGACATTCTTCCCAACCACCCTCCCCCCGGCCACCACTACAGCAACGAGCCTGACCCCGACGCCCCCTCGCCTGCCGTCTGAGAGCAGACGCCCCTTCACAGCATGCTGCAGCATGAACCAGAGTGACACTATAACCAGATTGCCTTCTGCACCTCCTCCACAGCCTTAGAGCCTCAACTGTATAGTTACTGTATTTAAAAAGAAAAAACAACATCATGGACTTGGGATACTGGCATGGGCAGTGCTCTCGTGTTCCGTCTTCGCTGTTCTCTTTTTTTTACTTGACCAAAGGAAATCTATTTTTGTTTGTTTGAAATGAAGTTTGCAACCTCACTTATTTTGTAATTGGGCCTATTATATGATTATAACTATTATTACTATTGTTCTTTTCCATTTTACTATATTATTACTGCAATGAGTTTATTATAATTTTGATGTTCTTTTCATTTGATGCATTTGGGTTGTTGCCACTTTTTCTTTTGGAAAGCTCTCCTCTTGATCTCCTCAAAACTCCTGTGTGTCCTCAGGAGGTCCATTTGCCTGGTGAACGAATGCCGTGGTTTTTTTTGGATCGACATTAATTTATCTGCTCAAGATCTGTCTGTTCAAGCGCTTGAAAATCATTGTATTAATAAAGATATATAATGTACAGCGCTTGACATGAAGTTTAATTTTTGGTTGCTTTTGGTGTTTCGCTGATGGGAAAGATTATAATTGAAACTGTTATGATCGTGTAACACATGGGATAAAAATAGTTCCAGTTACAGAATAGATGCAGAGGATTTGAGAAACAACATGCATTGCAATACAATAAGCTAGAGCCATTTTACATAGCAATCAAGTTTAGGAATACTTGGTATTCAGTTTAAAAGCAGATCTCAATGAAAAAAAAAATATGCACATTTTATGCTTGCGGAGAATATAATGTCTAAATCAAGTCATTGTTTGTGGCCTGAGGCTGAGGCTACAATTCACATGGATCACCAAAATTTGATTAGTGAGCAAATATGCAGAAATACACAAAAAAAAATCAGAAATGCTGAGGTGGATATAAAAAAAAATCGGTAAGCCCAACAGGATTTGTCGCATTTAGTTGTTTGGCATTAAGTGCTCCATTCTGTAGACTGAAACAATATCCTTAGGTACCGTACCAGCACTGATAATGGTGTGTTGCAAGAAGATTGAAGATTGTGTCCCAACCAGGTGCTATAAACCAATTTTTGTCCTCAATGAAAGTGAAATAATGACAGTATCACCTATTTGACACCAAGTGTGCCGCACACGTCCTGAAAAGTTAAGCCAAAACATTTCGATCGCCATCTGGCGGCTGGCTGCAGTAGAGGTCATAAACCCCGCCCACTCAATGTAAACGAATGGGACTTAAGCCAAACTTAAAAAATAATCTAATTACACAAAATAAACTTTTCCCCAAGATGGTTTCCATCATTTCAGGTAGTTTTTAATCATACGACGTATGTTCAAGTGTTCATTTTTCTATTTAGCTTGCTTTTAGTTCGTTATTTGATGGTTCGTTAAAAACGGGAGTGTGAGCTTGCGATTGGGTCCAGGGGAATTTGCGAGGAACTCTGATACCACAGCTCCACCTCACGATCAGTACTGTGCAAACACGGGCTCCAAACGAATCACTACTGTGCAAAATCAGTCTCAGAATGACGTCATTTTTGCAAGATGACAGTGGCCATAATGGGATTTTTTGCCGTCACTTTTCTATAGTAGAAGAAAGTGGAGATGTGTCGTCCATCTTTTTTTACAGTCTACTTTTGGCACATTTGAACATACAGCTGTGGAATGAGGTTGTGGACCAATACGATTTTGCTGTGGGTGGAGCTACCTGAGGCACCGTGACAAAAACAAATGCAATGTCACCAAAAAAGATTGTCAGGGTCATAGCTGGTTTGAACGCGGTTGAGATGGATCGTACACATGATGGGTGGCGGTCTCCTTCAGGACTCTCACAGTGGCCAGGGCAGGTCACTGAAGTCCACGGGACCTCCCAGACCTGCGTCCGCCTCCAGCAGGCTCATGATGATCGCCATGGCAGCCTCATCACTGCTGGAGCCCGGCTCATCCATGATGTCACCGATACCGATGTGTGAATTATCACCTGCAGATCAGAGACGGTATTGTGAACCGTTTCAAAAGCAACACTGACAAATCACTGAACAGATCACCTTTACAACTTACTTAAAATCGAGCTGTTAGAGTAAGGATATCCTATGCTGTCCTGGCCCGACACCATCCCTGCTGAAGGAATGTCTGGAGTTCCACCATTTGAAATCTAAGCAGTTAGAAAAAATAAAATCAGATGCTATTACAATTAGTATTAACACATTAATGTAACATTAAATATGTAAACATCTAAATATGTTTGTCAGAGACTGCACCTTAAGGCATACTCCACCCAAAAATGAATTCTCACATCATTTACTCACCCTCATGTTAACCAGATATATATGACTTTTTTTCTTAAGATGAACACAAATATTTTTTATATTAATCCAAAGGTTTCAAAAACGCTTCAAAAACAGCCAAGTGAACATGAAGGTAACCCCTCGTGTGGATGAATCAGTTTCTCCTAAATATCTAATTTGTATTTATCTGAAGAAAAAAATACATCTGAGATATACATCTGGGATGGCATGAGGGTGAATAAATAAGAGATTATTGTTTTAGGGCCCTATGAAATCTGTAGTATTCCAAAATTCAATTTTTTCCATTTGATTTTTTTAATGCTTAAATATAATTTAGTAAAAGCATGTCTAAACAAATTTTAGTAATCAATAAGCATGTCTAATTAATTGATATCATGAAATTTATACAATTCAACAATATCTTTTTTTAGTTTAGTTTAACAATACAGTTTAAGGGCCCTATGAAATCTGTTTTTGTTTCCCAAATTTTTTTGTTTTTTCAAATTATTCTGGATTCCATCTGTTTAAATTTTAATAATTAAAAAGCATGTCTAATTAAATTTTAGTAATCAAAAAAGCATGTCTAATTAATTTAAGTCATGAAACATACAATTTAACAACATTTTCTTTTTAACTAAAACAATATTTTTAGGGCCCTATTGACTGTTAAAATTAAAACATGTAAGAGAAATTTTGTGATATTCCTTAAGAAATAAGCTTTTATTTTGCTATTACTATTGTTATTATTATTATTACTACTTTGAGAAGTATATTCTGCTGTACAATAACATTTTATTTCTGTCACATTCTCTTTAAGTTAATCCAAACTTTGACGGGTTGTCTTGAAGCCATCAGAGAGATTTCAAACGAAATGGTGAAATGCTGGTGAAGTGATGTGTTCATGTCCTCATATTGCAGCAGATGCTGAAAACATCACAAGCGTCACGTGTGTTTTAGTATGTGGAGAGCAGTAGACAAAACTGTGCCTCGCAGAAGATGCTGACTTCATATTTCAATAGCAGTCTTTTTGTGCTTTTATATTCACAGACACTAGACCATATCATGATTTGATTAAGTGTACAGCCCTACTGATTTATTGCCTAATTCCATGACATTTCTCGTTATACTGTAAACTCTATTTTTATGACTGATTCCGTGATTCTTACATCATAGGAATCACAGAATCCTAGTGTCCCTGTAACTGAAGCACAAAGGTTACCTTCCTGCCCTCCGGCGAGGATGTGTCAGGAGGGGGTGTGCTGTTGGTGATGTTGAGGGGACTTGAGCCACAACTAGAGGGCGATGAGCCTCTTATCCTGTCAGTCATATCAATGAAAGGTAAAACCAGCTGCAATGTCATCAAGATCATGACTCAAATGCAGATTATCCTACGTCCGATCAGCATACCTTTGTATCTCCATCACTTCCTCAGCGATCATGCGGCCGATCTTTCCTGCTCCGGGTCTTGTGCCTCCAGGGATTCCAGGGACAGTCTTCCCTGAGCCTGCAGCAGAACAATTTTTTTTTATGCCAAAAATCATTAGGATATTAAGTAAAGATCATGTTCCATTAAAATATTTTGTAAATTTCCTACTGTAAATATATCAAAACTTAATTTTTGATTAGTAATATGCATTGCTAAGAACTTCATTTGGACAACTTTAAAGATGATTTTCTCAATATTTAGATTTTTTTGCACCCTCAGATTCCAGATTTTCAAATAGTTGTATCTCGGCCAAATATTGTCCTATCCTAACAAACCATACATCAATGGAAAGCTTATTTATAAAAAAAAAAAATTACCCTTATGACTGGTTTTGTGGTCCAGGGTCATATATATAGCAGTCAAAAAAAAAAGTCTTTAAAAGGTCTCTAATACTCACAAAGGCCGCATTTACAGTAAAAACAGTAATATTGTCAAACATTATTGCAATTTAAAATAACTTTATTTTAAAATGTAATTTATTCCTGTATGCAAAGCTGAATTTTCAGCATCTCTACTCCAGTCTTCAGTGTCACATGATCCTTCAGAAATCATTCTAATATGCTGATTCGCTGCTCAAGAAACATTTCTTATTATTATCAATGTTGAAAACATTTTTTTTTCTTGCTTAATGTTGTAGAAACATTAAGAAAGAATTGAATACTTTTATTCAGCAATGACACACATTACATTGTTTAAAAGTGACAGTAAAGACACTTATGATTATGATTTAATTCTGTGCTTAATTTCCTCACAATTTCCATATGCTGCTCTCACAATTTCCCCTCACTTCATGTACATATACAGAAAGGTAGTATTTGTTGAATGAGAAAATCAAAGACTCAAATGTAAGCTGAAAACATTCATTTCATCATTGTATACTGTATTCTTATTTTTATTTTATTATTATTATTACTTTTTTACAGTATTAAGAATTAGGTATATAGAGAATTTAGAGGAGACATTTTGCTTTAAATGTCATACAAATAATGTCACCCCTTTAAAATAGACCATTTCTTTATGCTTAATACCATTTTAATTATGCAAAAAAATTAAAGTTTTAGGGGAGAAATTTCATTATTTTTGTTGGTCCTGTATTATCTGGGTGACCACAAACAGCCAAATCCTATTGGTTCAAAATCCTATAATTAAACATACCGTATGTTCTGATTGGCTGTGATGTTGAACTGAAAAATGACTTGTCACAGGTAACTTTTTGTGTCTGGTTAGTACATGCTTTAACAGTCACTTGTTTATTTGTTGTGTTAGGATGTGGAAAGTAAGTGAAATCTGCCTACTGTCACCAGCTGTAAGGACGCTGTCCATACTCTGGGGGGAGGCAGTGAGCTGAGGATAACCAGGCTCTGCTCCATCAAGAGAACTGCCTCTGAAAACACAGCCATACAATTTAGTAAGCTAAACCATCAGAACATATGGCAACATATTATATCATTATAGATTTTGTTCACTCACGAGACGACTGTATTAGTCGAGACAATGTACTCTACTTCTTTGGTCCAAGGGTTCATGAAACTGAACCAGCGACTTCTTAAAGTTATAAAAGAGCCATCTTTAATCTTGAACTTGTAACAGTTGGTGTTGATCTTCTCTCTCATCTGCAGCACTGCAAACAGAGACATACAGATAGTGAGGTCAGAACCAGAAATCTGGCCGTGCTACACTTTATGGAGAGCATCGCTCTACTGTTACCCTGTCTATGGCATTCAGCAAGATGTCCGATGTCATCCTGATGGAAATACTCATAGAACGACGTGCCCAGCAGCTCTTGAGGTAGATAAGCTAGAATGGCTGTGGCCCTAAAATGAAACAGAGGCATCTGTCAAATACAGAAGAATACAAGTGTTTTTACAGTGCTTGCAAGCAGGTAGTAATATTGTGCAAACATCAAATTTTTTCTCTCTAATGCTTAATATAAAGCATACGTTTTGTAGGGTGTACATAATGACAGCATCAAAATGACCGAAAGTCGTTAATTTTCAGTGAGAGTTAGCGAGATCTAACACTGCATTTGTTCATTTTTTTCCATTTTATCGAAATATTGTAACCTGATCTTCCAGTGAAACGAATGATGGCAGAACGACAGAAACAGCAGACTTCTCTCGGGTGACATATAGAGTTGGGTTCCAGAATTGAAAACTCCAATTATTTTCTCCAAAGGGAAATAGATTTTGAATGATAACTCAAACTTTTAAAGACAGACCTGTTGTGATCTCTGATGTTGTTAATCAATAGTATATGCTTTTGATGCACCAGAGAGTCGCGGCAAGCAAATTAGAACACCTAACTTTCAAATAATTTTGCTTCAAATAAAATTTTCTACTTTTCTTTCTACTGCTCTCTTTCTTACAATCTACTGCAAGCTCACATTTAGATCTGCCTCTAATTTTGAGTGCAATGTTTCTCAAACAATGGATAGAAATTCCCCATTCTACTTTTTTTTTTCTTTCTGGATAAGCAAAAACAGTATGTTTAACAGTAGACTTTAAGACCACATACGCAAACATTAAGACTCCACAGGTGCAGCTGACATATAAAAGCCTATTTTTAGGTGCACTGTGTGTCCTATATTTCCGCCTCTAGCCAGGCCGTGACCTTATGTCCATCTGCACCTTGGCTATATTTGTATATTGACCTGGACTGTGCTCGCAAAACCAAATAAGCTGTCACGCTAACATAAAGATTGGTCATAAGGTCAGCATGGACACCAAACATATAATCCAAGTCAGTTTATCCATCAGTAGACAAAACAAACATCTACCAACCACCTAACAGTTTGCTTAAATCTTACACTAATGTAATTTTGAGTCTGGAAAATTATACCATATCATACAAGCATGTCACATGTTGTAGTGCACTGGCATTGTTTCAGATTATTGAAGCAAGTTAAGGCGTGCTCACATTTACCATTGCTATGTGAAGGAAAGCAGAAAATCCAAAGCTATTCTTGCCAGCTAACAAACGAACCAACCATAAACAGCTGCTTTCCAAACAGCCTCTTAATAGAAAATGTTACAGTTTTAATGTGTGGTGAGTAAACTCTCCCAGAATGAGTGCCTCATCCACTGTGGATCTTTAGTTTTGCTTGTTAAATGACCAAACTCCACCCACACAGAGGTCACTTCTGAACCAAGAGTCTTGCTATTGGTTGGCGCTGTGAGTTTTTGTGTTGATTCCCATTGAAAAGCAAATGTGACCGCACCTCCAAACTGAAACTGCATTTCAAGGCACCCAATGGTCACCACTTGCCTTTGGTCCACGAAGACAAACTTCCCATCAATGGTATGGCGTGAGACATACTCTGTGGGCTTCACCCGGATGTCTCCATTAGTGGGTTGTGGGACAATATGAGGATGTAATCGGCCAATGGCCACTAAGCAGCTGAGAGTACAGCCTTCATTATCAGGCTCATTGTCTTCATCTAAGCCCATCTTTGTGGGCGGCCAGCTCTTCAGATAGCCAGTGCTGTGGATGGTGCAGAAGCTCTTGCGATCGGCTGCAGGGAGAAGAAAGCAATAGTTATGATGTTGAAACATTGTCTTTGAATATTGAACAATATGCAAAGTAAATGAAAGAACTGATTTACCTTTCTTTTTGGAGCAAGTTGAGGGAAAATCTTTGTCTTCCATTTTGACAAGGGGCCTGTTGCACTTCATTCTGCAGAAGAAGGAGCGTCGGGACCCCGAGCACAGTCTGGAGGGACTAGGGGCAATGTCTGTCCTGACCGGCAGCCCAGCTGAGAAAATAACAATTCATTGTCAGATAAGTTCAAAAACTACTAAAACTAATGAAATTGAAGTGAATAAAGGCCACGATTTTTGCCCCATTTTGCAGTCTGGACGAGTCAGAGCCAGTCTGCAGATTTTAGATAGTCAGAGTGATTTCACATAAAATCACGTAGTGTATGATGGGCACAGATTTTTTTTTAAACTATGATTCCATCCAGTCAGAGGATATCAGACATATTTGATCATTTGAGCTGATTTTAGAACACAAATTGTTTTCATTTGTCATGTTTCTCTAAGCAACAAGTTACATGTTTCTGTGTGAGTTTGTTATGTTTGGAACGACTTGCAAATCTGGTAGTGTGAGTCCCGTTACGAAAAAGAAGTTTATTCAAGTGTGCTATTAGTATACTTCTTTTAAACCAAAAATAGGAAAGTATACTTTTAATCTACTTTTTATGTACTTCTCAGAAATGGGCTTTACGTACTTCTCAGAAAAATACTTAAAATTACATTTAAGTATACTTGACTTATGCTTAGAAAAAGTCTAAATATGTTTGAGCTACTGTATACTTTCATTGTTATACTGTAGGGGGCGCTATTACACATCTTCTGTACAGAATATCCAAAAAAACACAAGTAACTAAGAACCTGAAACAACAGATGCTTCCACATGTAATCTTACATGATCATCAGACATAAAACAGCATCAAAACTGTGTAACGTTATGGAATAAAATGTCGACCAATGAAGAGGTAATAATGACTGTCAAGCTTTGAGGTGTTGATCGACTCCATCTACGTTTTGATTATCATTCTGAATCCAATTCATAGTCTTTTTTCTGCTTTTTGTTCAAAATGTTGTTTATTTGTTTATTTTTTATTTATGAAACTTATCCACATTCAAGTGTTTAAAAAAAGAATGCATGAAGCTAGAATAAAATGTTTTTGTTTACAAGCAGATACCCTGTTCTTTTGATGTTTTGTATGTTCAGATATTCATGTAACAAAATATATACAAATTAATACCTAAATAGGGACATAGTAGTATACTTAAAGTATGATGTAAAGTTCACTTAAAGAAAACTTAAGAGTATACTTGCAGTATAAAACTACTAAACTAGTAGTTTACTGAGACTATACTTCAAAGTGTACTAAAATGCTACTACAAGTATTTAATTTGTAAACTATCAGTATACCTATAAGTTCACTTTTAGTATAGTTACAGTACAAGCTAAAAATATTGATGTAAACTAGCTGTGTACTCAAAGTTTAATACTGTTATACTTAAAGTATACTTAAAAGTATACTTTTATATACTAGAAAGTGGGCCAATTTAGTCCCAAGGAGTACTGAAATAGTACACTTACAAGAATACTACTAGTACACTGATATTTGTATACTTACTACATAAAGTATACTTACAAATATACTTGAAATTGACTTAAGTATACTTAATAAAATAAACTTGAAGTATACTACTTTTTGGTACAGGTCGTTTAGTGCATGATGCCCAGTTTTTTCTTTGTAAGCATTTACAAAGTCAGCAATATGTATAATGCAAATTAAAACAAAAAAAAAAAGTATGATGCTAGTCTTTTAAAATGGAAAAAAATAAAAGTCATGCAGCGTATTCCTGCCTTTAAAGTTTGTCTGCATAATGGTGTATTTATTAGCAGGTGCTAACTTACTTTTAGCATCGATGAGTCTTTCGCGTGGGGCTGTGTCAGAAGATGAGAGCTGCTCTTTGACTTTTGCAATGTCTTTAGGATGCAAATAATCGAACAAACTCTGGCCAATCAGGTCATTCTGTGAGACAAAGAGAGCAGGCAATATAGTGAGTCACTTCACAGTCTGATGATTCGTATAAGCTGAGTGGTGAATCACAGTAGCATTAGAAGGCCTTACCTGACTGTAATTTAAAATTTTGTTGACAGACTCTGACACAAAAAGGATCTTTCCCCGATCACAGCCCACAACGAACAGAAAACCGTCAGCAGCCTGAGATGCCAAATGAATCACCAGTGAGTCACAGCCAGGGTTTGTCACTCAGCATAACACAAAAGGATTCATTTCTTTAGGTCACCTACCCTTAATATTAAGTGCTTCAGCTCATCTTCGGATAAAAAGGCTGGCTTGTAGTTAGCTTCAGTATAAGGGTTTGCAGCACCTTAAAAATACAGTATAAAATAAGCATAAGTAATCAATTAACTTGTTGTGAGTACTTGTGCACCAACAACTCAAATAGACAAAACACAATGTGAAGTACATGAATCACTTGACCTGCTGTAGGAACCAATGAAATATACTTTCACACTAAATCCTTCCTAGATCTCGCTGTTACAACAGAATGCATTTGGTGGCACTGTTTATATGTGACATTCATGTAATGGCATGCTTTCGGAATAGAGAATTAAGAAGCTCCTTAAAGGGATAGTTCACCCAAAAATTAAAATTTGATGTTATCTGCTTACCCCCAGGGCATCCAAGATGTAGGTGACTTAGTTTCTTCAGTAGAACACAAACGAAGATTTTAACTCAAACCGTTGCTGTCTGTCAGTCTTATAATGGAAGTGAATGGGAATCACAGCCTTGAGAGTAAAAAAAACATACACAAACAAAACCAAATTAAACCCTGCG